CAGATTTTTCAGAAAACAGGGGTCGCGCTCGAGCGTAGGTCACTCCGCTCGAGCGGACATGCAAACAAGGGTACACGCTCGAGCGTCAAATCCCCCGCTCGAGCGTACTGCAAAAGTACTGGATGAGTGAAATCTCCGCTCGACGGACGCTCGATGCCCGCTCAAGCTTGAGACACATGACTCCGCTCGAGCGCCCAATCCTCCGCTCGAGCGAACTGTAAAACAGTGCAGAGATACTGGATGCTCGAATTCCATGCTCGAGCGTCACTTTCCCCGCTCGAGCGGGAGTGCAAAATCTGGAAATCTCCAGATTGCGCCTCCAAGCTCAAACTCAAGTTTAAATGCATCAAAACCGATCCTCTTGGGCCCATTTTCTGGAAAACTCTTATAAACTCATAGTTAAACATGATTCAAAACTCAATTTAAGGAATCAAAGCCCAAGGGTGTTTAATTCAAACCCAATTTCAAACCAATTTCATGAACATGGAGAACATGCAAACATGCATGGATTAAAACCATTTCAAAGCTTCAATTTGATGCTCTAAGGAGCCAATTGTTTCCAAAACATGATGAAATCATGGACTTAAACATAATTGTGAACATGCATGTAACATTTTGCCATGAAAACAACTCAACATCTACAATACAAATATGCATGCAAGGAATGAGCTTCAATTCAACATGTAAGAGCCATAACTTGGCTCAAGGCTACAATTTGCTATAAATCATGCAAGAATCACTTAAACTCAAGAACGAAAGGGTAGTTGCTCTACCTTAGGTCTTCAATGCAAGACTAGAAGCTCAAATTAGCAACCTATACTTCAATTCTCTCAATCCAAGCAAGATCAAGCAAAAAGAGATGAAGGCACTCTCACTCCCTCTCTCAAGTCGGTGGTATGCTCAAAATGAGCTGAGCAAAAGTGTTTGATTCAATGTATAAGGCTCAAGAGTGCATAGATAATGGCCACTAAGTGGTCTAATTGTAATTAAGTCAAACCTTGCAATTAACCCAATATTTACTCTAATTTAATCATACCTAATCAGTTTTCAGATAAATACACCATAAAATCACATTAATTCTAAACATCATAGAACATCAACCAATTTCAGATTCGACCGCCGATAAGGCCTCAAATTCGTAAATTTAACATAAAACACAAACAGATAATCAAACAATCAAACAGATAGACTTGCAATTCAAACAGGTATATTCAATTAATCGGTTTCAGATTTTAGTCAGTCAGTTCAATATTTCATTCAGTTCGATTATCAGTCATAATCAGTTCGGTTTAACGGTAATCAGTGGTTATTCGGTAAACAGTGGTGAGGGTTATTACACTATTAGGCTCAAACACTCTCTCAAGTTGAGATGACCAACTTGAGACAAGTGTTGAGAGAAGTCAAACCTTTTTTAGAAGTATTTATTGAGTTTGTTAAAAAAAATTTCATAGATATTTTATTTTTGAAGTATATTTACATTAATGTCTCATTTGGCAACTTTTAGTTTTAGCTAAAAAGTCAAAAAAAAATCACTATAAGTTATCACATCGCTCTCTTTACTTTTCTGAATATCTTTTCGTAAAAAAAGTTAAAAAATTACTAAAATAAATTATTTCCAAACAAAGCCTAAGTGTATCTAATTTTTTTTTTTTATAAAAAAAAATCTTATAACAGCATAAAAAAAAAACTCAACAATGATAGAGAGCTCTAAAAATGATCTCTAAAACTAGCTCTAATGAGCTGACAGTGAAGAGAAGAGAAAAAAAAAAAGAAGTTAAAATATCACATTAAGAGGTGAAACCCACCTAGAGAAGAACTCTAATTATACTCTCTATTTTTCACTAGTTAAAGTACGAAAAAATGATACTCTTTATTTTATCTAATTACTTAAGCTATTGTGTTCTCCAATCGTACTATTTATTTTAGCTAATCATTCAAATTAACTTAATTAATTTTTAAAACAAAAAATAGTAATTGCTGATATTTTACTAATATAAATTTGCAATAATAATAAATTTCCTCATACAAACATACAAAACCTGTAGTAGAATGAGGAGAAAAAAAAATACAAAATACGAAATAAGTTATTCCGTAATTCATCAAACATAATTAAAAAAATATATAAAATTGCTACATACACATATACATATATAAAATATATAAAATCTCAAATCCAAGACATAAATATACAAAAAATCAATATATGCATACATATTTATTTAGAAAGCCTTTGAGGCTCTTCAATTGTAGTCACAAAAAAAATAGAATGATAAAGTAACTAGCTCAATAGTCAACCTATTAAAACCCAAAATTAGAGTTACATTGATTAAAATACTTAATAAGTCTTTTTTAACTATCACTTTAGAGATACTTAGAGTTCCTAATTTATAACTCTTAAACATTTTTTAAAAAAATTTAAGAGTAAACCAAACAAAATGATTGCCGTTATATTTCAGGTCACAACCAATGAAAACCAGTGTTGAGCAGGCCGGGAGGGATGTTTTGTCCTAATAATGTTGTCTCATTATTATGTGGCACCGGAACATGTCAATGCAGAGGGCCCACTCATATGTTATCAAATGTCATTTAAATGGTTACATCGGCTCCACCATGTTGGGATTATGAATATCATGATTTTCTGATGGTAATGACGTGTCCCCATTAAAACGAGAAATAATTCTTTGTAGACACGTGTCGATATTAATGAACCTCAATATATATTTTAATGTTTAGAGGTTATTTAGGATTGGTTTGGCAAGGGTTCGTTGGGCTTTTTTGACTCAATGAGTCATAAAAGACAGAATAGGTTCATGAGCCATAATAGATAAAATATCACATCTAACCCCATAATCATTACACTCTTATCTCACAAACTAAGCTTTTGAGCCCAAGCTCATATAGTCAAAAAAGTCAAAAAACTAAAAAGTCAACCCACTTCTCAAACGGAGGCTTAGGATGATTTGAATATATTTTTTGACTTTTTATAAAATATGAATTAAGTTTGAATTGTTATATTAGAGAAGTGATATAATTTAAATAAGATAATATAATTTAAATAAAATAATTATTTTTTAACTTTTTCAAACATGTCAAATCAATCCATAGTCTAATATTAAATGCCACGAAAAATTACTGGATAGACTAACGATGGATTGCAATATTCGTACATAGTTAGTTAATATGTTTTAAATGTTAAAATATTTGTTACGTCTTGAAACGTCATATTTTATGATTTGAGATAGTGGTGTTTTAAAAAGTTGATAATAAATGAATTTTTTAATTTTTTTTGTATAAAAAAATAGAAAAATAATTTGACTTTAAAAAGTCAAAAAAAACTACTCTCCCCATCTTAAAATAATAGTTCTTTTTGAAAAATCTAACTTTTTTTTGATAGTGCAATTATTGCACTTTAAAAAAATTATGGCCTTGTTTAGTTTGTGTTTCTTAAAAAATTTTGAGAAAAATTCTCTACAAATAAGTTTTTAAAAGTAATTAAACCAAACAAATTTTTTCAAATTTTTTTTTCAAAATTTGTTTGGTTTACAAATTTTCCAAACAAATCTCTCTCATACACATCAAGTCAATTACTTTTTCTAAAACTCTCTCTTAAAATAATTTTTCAAAATATCTTTTGAAAAAAAACTAAACCTAACATATTTCTCTACAAATTACTTTTTGATGATATATTTTTTGAAGAATATCAATGTCATAATTGTACTTTTTATGTTAACAAATTTAAAAGAATGACAAAATAAAAAATTTATATTATTTAAAAAATTTATATTATTTTTGTACTTAATTTTTAAAAAGAGATTAATATTTGAGAATAATAAAAAAATAGAATTTGAGACGGAGGGAGTAACTTTTTACTATGTTGTCAAAGCTCTCCATAATTTTATTGGTGCAAAAGCAATAACTTTTTTGTAATAAAAATAAGATACTTTGAGTTGTCATCATGACACCTGTGAACCCAAATCCTGAAGTAACCGATTGCTAACAATTTATAAGAAAAGATCCACGGCCAAAACACCAACAGGGCTCAACAAATTAAGAACACCAATTAAGGGCTAGTTTGGCATGTACTAAAAAAGTTAAAAAGTCGTTATTTTATTTAAGTCACATCATCTTATTTAAATCACATTACTTCTCTAACACATCACATCAAACCCAACCCAAACCCAATCCAAACCCACCAATAAGTTAAAAAATACACTTTTTTTAGGACATCCCAAACCAACCCTTATTTTTTATCAAAACAAATTAGGATGGAAGAGGAGACATATAGCGTCATTTATTCATTTTGTATGCCACATAGACTATCCACATGACGGCACAGCACGTAATTTTCAACATCGCATTTTTTTTTTCCAAAATTGAAGGTAAATTTATTTTAGGAGTACATTAAAAAAAATTTCAAAGATTGAGAGTCAAAATGGAAAAGAAAGGCTGTGTTTGGCGTGAAATTCTAATTATGATTTCACATTTATATTTGAGTGTGACGTTTGAATATAACTTTTAAAAATTAATTTCACATTTACTTTTAAAAATTCGATCCAAATGGGGTTCTGAATTTTAAAATTTGACCTACCTGGTCGTTTGACGTCCGGTCGGTTTGACCAGAATAGTGTTATTTTTATTTATTTATTTATTTATTTTTAGGACAATTAACACCTGTTATTTTTATATTTTAAATAAAAATATTTTTGAAATTTTTTTAAATTTTTTATAAGCTTTGAATAAAATTTTAAGTTGTATGTTTGATAATGAGTTGTAAGTTTTTTAATCAAATATCATATGTCATATCAAAAATTCCAAATCCAATTCAAAATTCTTTTCAAAACTTATAACCAAACAAATTTTCCACACTCAAATCATAATTCCAAAACTCAAAAACTTAAAAAATAACTCTATTATCAAATCATAATTTAAAACTCTACCAAATGCCACCAAAATATTTGAAGGGTCAAACTGATAAAATTATGAAACTTAAAGGCCAAGTGTAACATGGAAATCAAACATATATATTTACAAGGTTCTGTTGAAAGTCTTATAACATAGATCATATAACAAAAAAATGTTTTCAAGGACTATAGAATGAGCAACAATGCAATTCCTCCATGTAGATAAGAAAAAAAAAATACAAGGTACAAAAATATTTTACCTTCCCATGCCGTGTCCTGAGCAGAAAATAATCATCTCCATTTCGACCTTTGGGCGTCGCCACCCACCACATCCTTTGATGCAACCGGAACTTTACTAGTAACAGCGGCCTCGGAACGGAGAGGAGCTGTCTCTTTGATTGTGCGCGGTTCCTGCAAAATATGAAGCAATTTTCACTGAATTGAGATAGACAAATGCAGAAGACAACAAGAATTGAAAGGATATAACCCTCAAAACAAAACCGATTTCACTCTAATTTACCATGCCGAATTATCAAATGGATCAGAAATGAGAATTGATGTTTTGAGTGTTTCATTATAAAGTAGACACGGTGGAAAATAGTGTGGAATTACTATTTTACCAACCCTACAATCTTAGTTTTTAATCAAGGAATCAATTGCTTGCTTCGTCAAACCCGGAATATTAAGCATCAGCACACACCAAATACCTCTTTCCAACTACTCTGACATAGAGATGTAAACTAATAGTCACTGACAATTATTTTCCTTTTTACTCTTTTTTAAGTTCAAAATTGAAACTATATAGCTTATCAAACTGACATTTAGAACACTACTGCACAAACACATCCATAACCAGGTGTGGAAAAGGGCTTACAGATCGGAAAGGAAACTCATCTGCCTCCAGCATATGTACAATTTGCCCCATCTTTGGCCGCTTATTAGCATCCAAATCTATACAGCGAAGGCAAACCAACAATACCCGCTTCAAAGCTCTTGGAGAGGGTTGTACTTGAATCAGGGGGTCCACAACCTCCTCCCCACGTCGACTTGCTACCATTCCTTTAAACCAATCAACCAAGTTCATCTGATCCAATTCAAAAAGAGAAACTACAAAGATGTTATGATCAATACCAAAAAGAAGAGATAGACAAACAAACAAGAGAAACAAAAACAATTTTTTCACCTCTCCAGGTGCTCTCGAATAATCAACTGGACTCCTTCCTGTAATTATTTCCATGAGCAGAACTCCAAAGCTATATACATCACTCCCCTCGTTGAGCATACCTGTATTGGCATACTCTGGAGAGACATATCTGCAACAGAAAAATGAGAATAACCTAATAATATTATAGGAACTTTAACCAGCTACTTAATTGACCTTATAGAGGAATTCCAGAAAAAAACAGACCCAAATGTTCCCATCACTCGCGTAGTGACATAGCTTTTCTCGGGTCCCAAGAGCTTGGCCAGTCCAAAATCTGATACTTTTGCATTCCATTTTCTGTCCAGAAGAATGTTACTGGATTTTACGTCACGGTGCACAACTTTGGGTTCTAATCCTTCATGCAAATAGGCTAGTCTGTGACAGAAGCAAGGCATATAACAGTTCAGCCAAGAGAAAACAGAAATGAAGAAAACAGAAAAGAAAAAGAAAAAAAACCCTACTGTTTTGAAACAGAAACCAGTCATACAACAGTTCAGGCAAGACTACAAAACAGAAGGCAAGACAAAAATTACTTGAAAGATGGGCCACAGATAAGATAGGTAAATGACAAGAAAAGTGAAACCATTTCAAATTCCATGGAATATAACCAATAGAAGATATTTTCAAATAATTAAAAATTTTGAATACCTTGTGAGAAAAAAAAAACAACAAAACAAAACAAACACAAATAGAAATTTATAATGGTTATAACAAAATAATTAATTTGGGCCAGAAACTGGTAATTTTGGCCAGTATATTAGAAATTATAAAGAATTAGTCTTATTCCTTACTCTCTGCTTTCTTTAAGCAGTATTGTATGGTTTTATTGCTCATCTTCAAAATGTGGGGTCTCAATTGCTATCAATAACAGTGGCAAACTCGTACAGGCCGGTGGAGCTTTGTTGAATTACAGAGTCAGTAAAATTATGCCGCAATCACTTTTTAAGGCAAAAGTAAATTCAAATATTTCTCATCTGTAGTTACAATTTATGATTTTAGAAGTGAAAAATCAAAGTCCAGTTTTGACTGATCATTCTCAAGTAACATCAATTAGGAGCTAGGACACCCATGAAATGAAAAATGAAGCTAGAATATCTCACCCTTTTGCGGTCCCAACTGCAATCCTCATTCTAATATCCCAGGTTAGAGGACTAACAGGCCCTACATCACCATGTAACCATTGCTCCAAATTGCCATTGTCTATGTACTCATACACGAGCAATCTGATTGGGCAGTAGAAGTTGCAACAGTCATTTTAGGGGGCAATAATAAGGAATTCTTTTATGCATTTTTTAAAAAATTTATATAAATATTCTTCTATGCATATTCAGTAAGACAATATGATAAGGAAGCCACAAGGCTAATGAAAATTACCTTCTAGCACCTTCTGCACAAAACCCAACTAGACCCACCAGATTCTTATGCCTTACTTTTCCAATTGCTTCTACTTCCACCTTGAACTCCTTCTCTGCCTGCCCCCTTTATACAAGACGATCATAAAATGTGAATAACACATCCAGAAACTTATGATTAGTAGTAAAATATTGACGGTTAAGACATTGTTGAGACTTCACACATAGGGAAGAAAATTTTTATTACACAATCTTGAAGCATAGTTTTGAAGTTATAAAGCTTCATCATATCATATAACAAAACACATTTCCGAATCTTCTAAGTGTTGTCCAGTAACTCATTAAGTTTCTAAAAATTTGCACATCTAAAAATTCTAAAATGTTGAAAAATATATTAGCAATCCCACATTTCAATCATACTTCCTAGAAGGTTGCCCATTAGTAAAAGTTCACAACAACTTTCCTGGTTTCAGGAAAAACGAATTTACTATTGGTCACATGAACATGGTTATATATAAGAATCCAGCAATTTTCTCCATCTCTGCTTCAGGTGACACGTGTTACTCCGGGAATAGTCTATAATTTCTCATTTATTTCCGAGAAAAAAGTAACTGATCATAATTTATTTTTTTTTTGGAATAACTGGGTGTCCGGGCCAGTTTGTGCACGTCTCGAAAGCCTGAAGTAACTAGTCCATAATTTGACAGCAATCAAAAATATTTTTTGTTATGCCAAATTCAGTAATACTATTTTTTAAGCTAAATGAACATCATTCTATAAGATAAAAACTTAATCTGGTTCACAAAATTGTTATTAGAATCAAAACAAATCTAATCCATTTACCCAAAAAAAAAAAAATTGCAAAAAAACAAAAGTGAACAAATTCTACAGCAAAGCAGAGAAAATAATGAAAACTACTAAAGTAGGTAGATTATAAAATTAAAGAAGACAATCATAAAAAAAAAACAAAAGGGAATAAAGAACAAAGTAAGAGTTTACTTTTCCTAATAAATACTTAGTAAATAAGACAAATTCAGTTACCAACGCCGACATTATATTTCAGATCTAAGAAGCTCAGATTATATAACACCATTATAGACTCTTCCAAGCTTTACCAACAAAAATCAAAATTCAAGAAAACTTCAAAAAAAAATAATTAAATAAAATTGAAGCGACTCACTTGTTGTTGAGGAGGCTTTTCACAGCGACCACAGAGGCATCATGTAAAACACCTCTGTATACAATACCATAACCACCTTCACCGATCACATTCTCAACAGCAAATCCACGCGTCGCAATCTCCAGTTCCTTCAAGCTGTACCACCGCCCCCACCCGATGTTCATCCCCTCCGCCGACACCGCCGACGACGACGTCGTTGTTTCGCTCTGGCTTCCACCTGACACGTTGCTCTCAGAACTCCCTTTCTTCTCCTCAATCTGATCAATCCCGATCTCGCCAATTGCCTTGTTCTCTCTCTCCAATTCCCCAATTTTACAGTTCTCAGCTCGATCCGAGTCCTTGATTTCGCTAACATCCTTGCAGAACAGAGGTAACATGCCTGAACTGTGCTTCACGCGCATTCCTCGGCGTTTCGAGCTTCGATTCGAACGAAGCCAAAGAAGGATCAAAACGAACACTATAATTAGGCAAACAAAGCATAGTCCGATCACAAGGTAGAGTCTTAGCCCGAGAAATGGCGTCTTGGAGTTGAGACTGTGGAACAGAGAGGTGTCGGAGCTGTGATGATCGTCGGAAACCACCATTGTTTCCGGCTAGATGAGGGAGAGAGAGAGAAAGAGGGAGAGAGAGAAGACTATGAAATCGCCATTGGAGAGAGAGAGGGAATTGGGAGAAGAGAGAGTGTTGAGTGATTGAGAAGGTGAGAGTGCTAAAATATTGGAGAATTTGGAAAAAGCAAATATGCATTTATTTTTTTATTTTTTCTTGTTCAACGGATAGAAAATAAAAAGGGAAGAGAGGACTTGTGCTTTTAATTGGGTCCGAGTTTTAAAGATATTACGAGAAGGCCACTGTGAATTTGGTCACGCATTTTGCCTGAACAGAATATAACATATAATAATTCATCTAAAAAATAAAAAATGAATTACTTCTCTCAAAATTGTACTTTTAATTGTTTTGATATTTATTCACTCATTTTAAAAGTATGTAAATAAAATCAAAATCTTAAAAATATTTGAATACTTTTAGTTGTTTTAATATTTGTTCACATACTTTTAGTTGTTTTAATATTTGTTCACATACTTTAAAAGTTTGTGAATAAAATCAGAGTTCAATATATTTAATGTGAGATTCTGAATTTTTGAAGTATTAATATTTTAGTAGGAGATATTGGTTGCAGTTTGGTGGTGAGATTTTTGAATAAGAACCTAACTTATTTCCTTATCTTATCTCTTTTTATCTCTATCTCATTAGTATTCATCTTCTTGTGAAATATATTTTCGTTTGACAAGGAGGTTTGGATTATTTTAGTCACAAAAAATAAAATAGGTTATTTTAACCACAACAAACAAAATATCACATTCAACCCGTAATCATTACACTCTTCTCTCACAAAAAAGTCAAAAAATTCAAAAAATCATTCTCAAACCAAGCTTTTTAGCCCAGGCTAAAATAGTCAAAAATAGTCAAAAGGCCAAAAAGTCAACCCACTTCCCAAACGGAGGCTTACTTTTCTTCCTTAGGCTTCGTTTGGGAAGAAGAATTGGGGCTATTTTAGCCACAAAAAGACAATATAAACTTTTTAGTCTAATAAGATAAAATATTACATCCAATCAATAATTATTACATTCTTTCTCTCACAAAAAGTTTAAAAAGCCAAAAAGTCCTTCCCAAACGAGACTTTTTAGGCCCAGGCTAAAATAGCCAAAAAGTCAAAAAGCCAACTCACTTCCCAAACGAACCCTTAGTAAGCAAAATCATTTTTATTTTACTTTCTCTCCAAGTTACTTTCTTTACAAGGAAAGTTTCTTTTCTTTTTCTCCAAGTACACCCCTTTCTTGCCCACCAAGTAAACTTTTATTTTATTATTTTTTTTCTTTCTTTTGCCCCAAGTATCCTTGCCTTATAAATTGTGCCTTTCATATCCTTTAATTCCATCTCTTCAAAGCTCTGTCTTTCTTCTCTACTTTCTACTCTCTCTCTCTATTTGTGATTGTAGGTCACAAGTCAAGGACCGACCAACCATCTCTGGAAGCCCACTGTGAGTAACATTCTTGTAAAGATATGTTTGTATAAATTATATTCAAATCATTATATGACAAAGATATGATTTACTAAACTGTTATTTTGCTATGTGAACGAATGTCCTATTTGCAAATCTACCATGGCATCCACAGATAGTCCCAAGTCATGGGGGACGACATGTAAATGCGAGTCTATGACATATACATAATTATGAGATCTCGTTAGCCATTTCATTGTGGTGATATGTGTTTAATCGGTATCCAGAACCGATTACTCTAGTCGAAATACGACATGATATGTTCTGTGGGATGTACCATTATTATATTATGATATAAATCTGATATGACCAATATGTATGATTTGTTTTCTGTATATGATATAACTTGGAATTCGTTCACTAACCACTTTACGTTAATGTTATTCATTTCTTTCTCTCACAAAAAGTTTAAAAAGTCAAAAAATTCTTTCCAAACGAGACTTTTTAGCCCCAGGCTAAAATAGCTAAAAAGTCAAAAAGCCAACTCACTTCCCAAACGAACCCTTAGTAAGCAAAATCATTTTTATTTTACTTTCTCTCCAAGTTACTTTCTTTACAAGGAAAGTTCCTTTTCTTTTTCCCCAAGTACACCTCTTTTTTGCCCACCAAGTAAACTTTTATTTTATTATTTTTTTTCTTTCTTTTGCCCCAAGTATCCTTGCCTTATAAATTGTGCCTTTCATATCCTTTAATTCCATCTCTTCAAAGCTCTGTCTTTCTTCTCTACTTTCTACTCTCTCTCTCTATTTGTGATTGTAGGTCACAAGTCAAGGACCGACCAACCATCTCTGGAAGCCCACTGTGAGTAACATTCTTGTAAAGATATGTTTGTATAAATTATGTTCAAATCATTATATGACAAAGATATGATTTACTAAACTGTTATTTTGCTATGTGAACGAATGTCATGTTTGCGAATCTACCATGACATCCACAGATAATCCCAAGTCATGGGGGACGACATGTAAATGCGAGTCCATGACATATACATAATTATGAGATCTCGTTGGCCATTTCATTGTGGTGATATGTGTTTAATCGGTATCCAGAACCGATTACTCTAGTCAAAATACGATATGATATGTTCTGTGGGATGTACCAATATTATATTATGATATACGCCTGATATGACCAATATGTATGATTTGTTTTTTGTATATGATATAACTTGGAATTCGTTCACTAACCACTTTACGTTAATGTTATTCATAAGCTTTAACTCATTGTTTTGTATATATATATATATATAGGTAAGCGTCATGGAAAACCAGCTTAGGGAGAGAGTCGAGTCACCCTTTAAAGCCTTACGAGTTTTGGTGCCTCCGAGTTGAGGCTAGGTCGAGAAGACCGTTGTATAGTCTTGATCTTATTGCCGAACTTTTGTTTATATATATAAATCCATGAATGATGTTTTTGTATGTATGTATCGTACAGTGGGTAAATTAACGTTTATATACATCTGAATTTGTGCATATAGATGCATAGCTCAATGGATTATTTTTTGTCTTTATGTTATAAGCTTCTGCTAGCCCCGCTTATTTTGATTGGTACAGGAAGGCCTTTGGTAATCACGGATTACTGGTCGATTACTTTACCGACCCTTACTGGGCGGGGTTTGGGTTATGACAGAATGGTATTAGAGCACGAGTTAATTTACCCACACACGTGTCCAATTGAGCTATAGGATGACTTTAAAAAAAAATAAAAAAATAGGAGCATTGCATTAAGATTTGTGAGTGTGTGTGTATTCTATGAGCACATATTTGAAATGAAATGAGAATGTAAATTATGAGAACTATTGCCTATGTTGATTATTGCCTCTGTTTATAATTAGACCAATGGAAAGAATGAGCAATGCAAATGAGTCTGAATATTCTGATGCAAGAATTGATCGATTAGAAAGAATGGTAGGAATTTTAACTGAACTAGTGAGACAACAACAAAAGCAAAGACAACAAACTTTACCTCCTCCACCACTAGTCCAAATAGAGCCGTATGGACTCAATTTGGGTTATCGTTGATAGACTGACTAAATCTGCTCACTTCTTACCTGTCAAAACAATTTATAATGCGGATAAATTGGCCGTGATTTATACTGATGAAATTGTTAGACTGCATGGAGTGCCTGTGTCCATTGTTTCTGACAGAGACTCGAAGTTTACATCGAGATTTTGGCAAAGCTTACAGACTGCATTGGGTACTGAATTGAGACTGAGTAGTGCTTATCATCCTCAGACAGATGGCCAGTCAGAAAGGACCATCCAGACTTTGGAGGATTTACTGAGAATGTGTGTCCTTGATTTTCAGGGAAACTGGGAAAGCCATTTGCCATTGGCTGAATTTGCCTACAACAACAGCTATCATTCAAGTATTGGTATGGCGCCTTTCGAGGCATTGTATGGCAGAAAATGTAGATCTCCGATTTGCTGGGCAGAAGTTGGAGATGGGCCTTTGCTTGGGCCCGAGATTGTATACAAAACAACTGAGAAAGTGAAACTGATACAACAAAGACTGAAAACTGCGCAGAGCAGACAGAAGAGCTATGCTGATGTTAGAAGACGGGATAGAGAATATGAAGTGGGTGATCACGTGTTTGTGAAAGTGACACCGATGAAAGGCCAGACTCGTTTTGGAGTCAAAGGCAAGTTAGCGCCAAGATATGTCGGACCGTACGAGATTATTGAGAAAATCAATCCGGTAGCGTATCAAGTTGCGCTTCCACCTGAAATGGAGCATATGCACAACGTCTTCCACATTTCTATGTTGAGGGATTACCTTCGGGATCCTTTCCATGTAATAGGGCCGACTCGTGTAATGCTGAGTGACAACTACACTTACGAGGAACGGCCTATACAGATTGTAAACAGACGGATCAAGAAGCTGAGAAACAAAGAGATTCCGTTAGTGAAAGTTGACTGGCAAAACCACGGTGGCATGTATGCCACTTGGGAAAGGGAAGATGACATGGCTAAAAGATATCCTGAACTGTTTCCACTGAATCCTGTTTTTCTCCAAAATGAAGGTAACTCGAGTTTAGAGGACTAAACTCTTTTTAAGGAGGGGAGACTGTAACAACCCTCATCACTGTTTACCGAATAACCACTGATTACCGTTAAACTGAGACTGATTATGAATGACAAGTGAACTGAATAAACTACTAAACTGACTAACTGAAATTGAAACTGAATTGACTGAGTATACCTGTTTAATTGTAATTCTATCTGTTTGGTTATTTGATTATCTGTTCGTGTTTTTATGGT